ATAAAGTTAGCATTTGCATCCTTCCCCCTAGTCAGAAGATGGCTAATCAATTGTAGGATGCTTATATACCATAAAGTTTGTTATTACCCCATAAATGGTGACGTTTAAATGTTGCGACAGGTTGCAAAAAATTTGATTGTATTGCCCTTCTCACTTGATTTATATATTTTTTCACTTAACAGGGGCACTGTTTCCAAGGACTTGTTACAGAATGCTTTGAGGGTCACAAAGAAAGTTCCATTCACCTTAAAATGTATGTGTGAAGGGAAACATCCAAGAGACATTTGCATGGTACATTGCGGAAACATCCAAGAGACATTTGCATGGTACATTGCAAGTGTAGGACCCATTGGTGATGTTTGTGTACAACATGGTATTGGGAGCCAATCTCAGGCACAGGTGCAATTGACACGGGTAATGATGCACGGGTGAGGGGGAGATACCGAGATACATACGTTTTTTACCGCTAGTCAAGACACACAGAGGGAGATCCGGAAGCAACTGCATATGCAGTGTATGGTAAAAAATGAATAAACAGGGACTTCACCCAAAGAGACGAAAGACCTGGAATCTCTGTGTTAGCGAGTAAGGAGCAGGATCTGCCGAGAGGCTTTCCAGAATCAGTCACTGCAGCAAGTATTAGTGAGATTTGTTGTTGTCATGCAGTTTGGCATTTTAAATCTCAACAGATCTGCTGCACCGCAGAGAAACTTATTTTAATCCCCTGAATATAAATACAACAGCATCATCACAGAATAAGCGAGGTACAGTCTGCCTTCCAGCTGGAGTTATTCAAGTGAAACTAATGGCATAGCAGCATGGTTTTCCCATAGACCATTAGCATGCATTAGGCAGCGTATGGCCCACGCAGCGGCATACATCAAACTGCACAGACGATTCCTTCTCACTATCACTCAGAATTGGAAACACTCTTGGAGGGTGTGATTAAAAGGGCAAATGAGGAAAATGTTTACTGCTCTGCTGCACAAAGTAACTATAATCGATTTGCAGATGTTGGGAGGGATCCTGCCCTGCTCTTATTCCATCCAGGTCCAAAACAAGACTTGACAGATCGACAAATGATAAGTGACTGGAAGGGGAGGCAAACCGAATGAGGGACAAAATATCCATGTATGGAAAGCAAAAAAAACAACAACAAATGAATGAGGACGAGGTTTTCAGGTACGCTGCATCATGTGATGCTTCTTTTGGAACACTGCTTTAAATAGCTGGCTCCCTTCAGAGTGACTTTATTGTTTGTGTCAGTTTACAGTCAGCCACAATATGAGGAGACAAGCCTGTCCACTGGTACATTTAACTTAATACATCTCTACAAATCTATTGTTTAATCCTCATTTAACACATGCTGAAGTGCAATAAAAAAGTGAATAATCTACAGGAGACACATGGATAATATAGTACAAACGATGTGTATTCCTTTAACTGTATTTTTGCATATGAAATCAGGTGAGGCTTTCAAATGTAGGATTGGGCACTCAGGGATATTAACACATTTATGAGACTTAATTCAAATTCCTCTGAGAGAGAACATGTGACATTTGAATAGCCTGCTATTTATACACCAAAGCTGGAGACGTTACTATGGCACTGATTTTGGCAATTGAGGTGCAATCTGCTGTAGTTTTCCTCTTGTGTTGACCGTTCACAACCCCCTCCTCACTCACCGATTTGTGTTGTTTCTCTCCACGAGCCTGACGCTCCTAGGATGGATTACGGATTATTTCGATGTATGATCTCTGTTCATTGTTTGAAGATGGATTAGGGTCAAGTCTACAGGCCTCACCAAGAGAATTAAAAGACTTGAATAGTGTTTACATATCGGGTCAGGAAGTGAGAAAACAAACTTTGAATTATAATGTTTCGCGGACGACCTTTTCTCTATAATCTGATTATTGTTTGGGGCCCAATCGCAAACACTTTGTCAAGCATCAAAAAAAAGTTTTAAGGAAATCTATCCATAACTTCTTTTCCCCATGTTAACATGATTTCTTTTTCTACAATGATCAGCAACTTCAACACTGTTTCATTCATTTGATTTTGAAAAAAAAGGCTCTTGTCCTCTTTGATTAATGAAACAAATGGCTTTGCCGAGTAGTAATCATAGCTACGGCTCTCACTGTAACTACAGTGCGTGGTGGTCCCCTGTGGCAGTATTAGCAGGCATCCTCAATAAGGAGATTTATACAGATGACTACCAACCAAGTCTTCTAAAAATATATTATGCCATTGTGCTTCCGCTGAATGTCGACGTTTCTGAACCAGGTGAACAAGACAGATTTAGGAGGTGTAGCTAACCTGCAATGGGGTACGAGATCATTACTGTTTGCTGAACATCTAAAAAGTGGAGCTGACATATCTTGGCAACCACTTGGCATCTGGCCGGAGCCTCTCCGCACGGTGCCATCTAATTAAAGTTCTATTGAACAACCTGAGGCTCAAGCAAAGGGGGCAGTAGGTCTCCAGCGGCTCATGCGAGCTAAACAGTACAACAGCGTGAAAACACTCACAGATGGGTTGATAAGATAAAACTACGGTAAAAAGAGCACAATATCTAAACAAAATGTAACGATGAAATGTAATGATTACATGACTATGAACAGCTGAAAATGAATCAGCCGCTGCAGTACCAGTACCAATACCAGAGATGGCTGCATTATCCAAGACAAAAGGATATTTTTATTTTCCAAATATATTGATATACAAGTTTTAATTTTTTAATTTATCTGGTTGTGGAGCAGGTTGGATTAAGTAGATTGCTGCAATAGTTAAAGTGAAATAAGCGGCTATTGATAATAGGGGTGGGGGGAAAAAATGGATTCTTCGATTTCTCTCGATTCTCTCTAGAACGATTCGGTCTTGATTCAGAAAAGTTAATAATCGGAATAAACATTTTTTTAAAAGTCTGTCTCGCACGAGCAAAAGTCGGAGCGTGAACTTCCTCGCTCACGAGGTTAATCTCTGCTCGCGCTCGAAGGTGTTTTCTACGTGCTCGCTGTTTTTCTTTCTGACAGTAAGGAGGCGGTGCCAGTCACCATGGTCTCTACACCTGAATGGTTACAAACCCGCGTCTTTGGATTGGCTAGTGTGAGGCATTCACACAACTATAGAAGCCCATTTCCGCACTAAAGAAAGGGGATAGAAATACGAAATTATGAGAGAAAACGTTAGAACAAACGCCCCCCTTCGGTAATCGTAGTGGACCGTAGATGACAACCAGCTACAACCATAATTTACCATCATTTCCGGCACATTAAGAGCAATGCGTCCAGCTCGCAGACCGGTCCGTCAGTCTGAATCTGAATATCTTGCCAACTATACCGAACTATGGAGGAGCCTGCGCATATCTTACCTCATTATTTCAATTTTCCAAAAAGTCGATCTGTATTGAAAGTTGGCAAGATATTCACAGATTTTGACTTGATTTCGGTATTTTACAAATACGGGCCGGTCTGAGACTAAGAGCAACTTTTTCTTCATTTAAAAGAAAAATGAATCTGTTTAATATTTTTCTTACATAGGCTGCTTCCATATTGTGTTGAAATGAAAGCTGCATTGGTTCTTGCATTGTTGAAAATCATATTTCTCTTATAAAAAATTTGAGAAAGTAATTCATCTGTTGATTTTCTTTAATTATCAAATAAAGTAGGAAGTGATTAGCAACATCTGAGTAGCAAACTCAGATTTGAGAAAATTTACAAAATTGAAGATCTGAACATCTGAAAATCTTTATGATTCTATAGAATATTACATCCCCTCTACTTTGTGTGAGCCGAGCTGAGGCAGAGAAGTGGAGCGCGGACACGCAGCCCGCCATTGTTTCCTATTTTAATTATTCATCCAGAGCATCGTACTCTTGTCTCGGGCCTTGGCTCTTTATAGGCGCATCACTGACATGAGATGCAACTGAGTTTTAGTGTTTCTCTATGTGTAATGTCTTATTTATAAGACCTGCACAGCGTAAACCAGAGCTTAGAGGGAAGTCAACGTCATGAGTGTGTCCCGTGTGCGTGTGTGTGTGCGTGTGTGTCGCAGGTGTCCAAAAAACATTGCAAGTCCGAGTTAAAAGGATTCAAACGCAGCTGGTGTTCATAACAATGTACACTACACATGCACACACAAGCAGCATGTTTTTATTTCACATTACTGTCTCAGCAGTTGAAGCTCCAACGGAGGACGGCGTGCTGCAGCTGAGACACCGAGGCTCGGCACCATCCAGTATTCAGGCAGATCCACATTTAAATAAGTCTTTACTGCTTTTAGTGAGGCCTGCTCCTTGAGGTGAACACATCCATGGCGGGGTCCTATATTGGAGATATGCAGTATACTAACAATGTGTTATTCCCTTTGTGTTAGCAGCATCCTGGAATAGTTTGGTGACTCTCGGAGGTGCTTGTTGCCCATGAACCGTCTTTAGAAGACTGCCGCTAGGAGCCTTTTTTAATCTCCACTGGTCTACATACAAGTTGCAAGGGCTCGGCCACCAATGAAATGATGCATGAACTAACCGTGTAGGTCAATACTGCCTATGCTTCATCACGCATGTGCTCATGCTGGACTGGGCTTTAGTTTAAAATGTCACTGTTGAATATATTAACTAACAAGGATGTATAGTCTCGTGGAAAGTCAGGCACCCCGACGTTGTCTTTTGACGTTTCAGAGTTACTAATCAGACCAGCTGCCCTGCTTAAAATGAATAGACATTTTTTTAAAAGACAGTGTGCGTTCCAATAGCAGTAGTAATTATTATCCTAAATAGAAACATGCATTAGATGTAGACATTTTACACAGGCATGCACACACATCAAACAACGACGAAATGAAAAGTTCGAGTTGTTGGCTCGGAAGGTTGTGGAGACAAATGAATCCACCGCCCATCACTGGGATTCAAATTGCATCCACTTCTGTTGGTCAGTTTTCATCAAATTATTTTGGTCTGTTTGGACACCAGAGTTACGATGTAATAAAGAAGAAGCACCTACCTCACTCATGGCGGCGCGCTGTGTGCGTGTGTGCGTGCGTCTCTGTGTGGCTTCCCGGCAAACTGCGATACGCACCGTCCAGTTGACTGAAAGAAGAAGTCCTCTCCGAACCGCTCCGACGCGCCGCCGGCTTTTATAGCGCGGGCAGCGCGCCTCTCCTCGCCGCGTCTCCGTCAAGACCAATGGGCGCCTGGGTCTCCATCTCTCTCTCTCTCTCTCTCTCTCTGCGGAAGGAGTGCTGAGTGTACGGAGCGTGAGGTGAATTGTTTGGATTGTGCTTTCTATCTGTTATTTGGTCTATTTTCGGTGTTTTTCTGGTGTGTGTTGTGGGGTGAATGCGTGGTGGTGTTTATGTGTGTCTTTTGTCTCTTTCTGTGTTAGTTTGTGCGTGTTTGTAGGTCGGCATGTCGGACCTCACGGGGCTGACGCGGAAGCACGGCGTGAAGCTCGCGCCGGGCTTCGCGTGCTCCGTGGAGGACAGCGGTCTGGCCGTGGGGGGGTTGGTGGGTCACGGTAGTGTGAAGTCATTTTTTTGGACTGCGTGGAGAAGGCGCGCGAGGTGGTGGCGAGCGGCGTGGTGGTCCGCGCGGGGCGCGCGAGCCCGTTTTTCCGCTCGCGGTGCCGGCCGTCAGGGTGACGTTCCGCCGTTCGTCCCTGACGGAGTGCTGCTGGAGGAGCTGGTCAAACATGGGAAGGTGGTGTCCCCGCTTAAAAAACTGTCCTCGGGGTGCAAGTCACCTTTATTGAGGCACGTGGTGTCGCATAGGAGGCAACTCCACATGGTGCTCACCAAACCCCAGGCCCTCGACCTGGTGATTAAGGTGAGGATCGAGGGGTTTGATTACGCCATGTTCGCCACATCGGACGATTTTAGGTGTTTCCGTTGCAGTGGAGAGGGACACCTGGCGAGGAGCCCCTCGTCCGCTCCGCTGGATGTGGGGGCGAGTGTGGGAGAGGGTGAGGCCCAGCCGGTCGGTCAGATGGATGAGGGGGCGACTGTGGCGACGGGTGAGGGGGTGAGTGTGGCGATGGGTGAGGCCCAACCGGTCGGTGAGGGAGTGAGTGAGGGGACGGGTGAGGCCCAGCCAGTCGGTGAGGGGGTGAGTGTGGGGGTGAGTGAGGGGATGGGTGAGGCCCAGCCGGTCGGTCAGGGGGGAGAGGGAATGAATGTCGGAGTGGATGGGGGGTTGAATGTAGCCCAGCGGGCAGGTGTGTGTGACAGAGTGAAAGAGGGGATGGGGGTCCAACGGGAAGGTGAAGGAGCTCGGGGGGCGCTCGTTGGTGGGGTTCCTGCCCGAGGTGGAAGCTCGGACAGCGAGGAGGATATGGAGGAGGGGGGGGGTCTTTAAGGTCTCCCACCTGAAGAGGAAGACGAGGGCCAGCAGGGGAGGCTCTCAGGCAAAGGGGGGGGGGGCCGGTGAGCAGAGGGGAGGTGGGAAGTGGGGAGTCAGAGTCCTCTTCGGGATGGGGCTCTATCGTCAGCATCTCCTCGGGTGGGACGGTCACCAGCAGGTACGGGGTGGGGCAGGTGAAGGAGTTCCTGCAGGCCACCAAGAACGAGGAGTGAAGCTGGAGGACTACTTCTCCGATATGGAAATGTTCGCTGTATAAAATAAAGGTTTTTCAAAAAATCCCAAAAAAAACTCTCTCTCTCTCTCTCTCTCTCTCTCTCTCTCTCTCTCTCTCTCTCTCTCTCTCTCTCTCTCTCTCTCTCTCTCTCTCTCTCTCTCTCTCTCTCTCTCTCCCCGTTGGACCCGCCCTTCGTCTCTTCAATAATCTGCCACTTAATTTGGGTGGGTTTCAGTTCCCTGTGGGCAAAGGGGGCAGGTCGAGGGAGAGGGGCTAGAGGGGGGGTGAACGTTGAGTAGTAGGGAATACATTCATCACAAACATTCACATTCATCGATCAAATTGACCACTGGGTGTGAAAGTGTGTTGAAACCATTAAATAAAGGAATCGTTTGGTTTGCAGCGCGTGGCCACATGTTTTTTTTCATAAAATCTATAAAGCACAAAATGAGTCTAGGGGTGTATTGCTTCTCCTGGACATCTGCCTGCACACACCCACAGACTGACTACATACATCTTCATGAATGAAATCATCCCCACTTGGATCGCACTGGATGTCATATACCTTTAATTACAGTCGATGTATTTAGGATTCATGGAACAAATCCATTTCTTTTAAGAAGCTCTGGGTTTTTCTTTGTGTAATGCCTCGCCGGAGAACATTTTAGTTGCCTTTTAACGGAATCTGTTGCACTACCAACCGGTTCATACCGACATGACGGCTTGAGACGGGGCCGAAAATGGGGCTGACGCGTGAAGAGACTGTGAGACAATGAGTGGATTTACTTCTGTGACAATGATGAACAAATACACTCCAATGTTAAAATAAAAAACAAAAAATGACATACTAGCTACAAAATAAAAATGCTATTTGGCTGATTCTAACACAATATATTAAAGGTGTTTGCCGCGTCGGGCCTAACAACGCCCCCGAACTGTTGCATTATTGGACAATAAAGCACAGCCTCTCATACCTCATTGTGGTTACCAGCGAAATTACAGTATAATTAGTAAGTAAATAGCTGCCTTTCAGCACAAAATAGTTGTAGCCACCAAACGTTGTGTATTACGTCATTTCAGTAGTCCAGAGAAAAATTAGTTCCCGTACGTGCATGTAAACAGCATTGGGTCCCGCACCATCTCATTCATTTACGTCACTCATCACGTCCACCTTAATTGCCCAGTTGCAAAAGCTTGCATTGGCCCAAAACCGATCGTTTGTGGGATTTCCGTTTTTTTTTCAGTGATCGCCACCGAGCTAAAAGCTAAAATGTCAACTAACGGTCGCTCAAAGTCTAACCTGTTACTTGTTGGGAAGGTGAATAGCAGCTCCTGTCACTGGATGTGTGTTGACATGTAGTGTAAATGTGCTTTGAATGGTTGGGAGACAAGAAAAGTGCTACACAAGTACCATCATCACATTCATTTTGAGGCAAGACCTCAGTACCACATTGTGTTACAGCTCACAGGCACAAATAGGCCCAATTTGTTTTCTAGAGAGAGTTCCAGAGAGATTCCGATGCAGCCAAGGTAGACGTGTCGGCTTCTGCAGGGCTCAAATCCGCCAACTCTTTCTAAACTCTAAACCTCCTGCCTCCATGTACCGAGGACTATTGACAATCCGACAAAGTGAGCATTCAGCTGGGCTGCAGCTTTGTAAGCCAAGTTGCACGCTTATCCATTACTAGATGCTTGGCAATAGCCCCCCCCCCCCCTTCCACCCTTCTTTCTATCTTTTCCTCTCTGTCCTTCACCGACCTCCACTGGCTCTTAAAATGTTGCTGAGGCATTTTTAGATAATAACTGCTGCTTAAGACCTGCTATTTTAGGTATCGCTTCTTTTTTTCAAACGGTAACTTGACAGTTTTGATTAGTGTGTTCTACTGTGAGGAGTAAGGTCTAAATCAGTCCCATCCACATTGCTAATTTCATAGATCAGCATGACAGCACAGTGTGATACAGATATGTCCAGCACAAAAACAATTGTGTAAGACGTATCACACCTGTATGTATCAGATTGTTCTTGTTTTTGATCTGTGCTGACCTCAGTCTCTCTATATTAATTCTATATTATGTCCACCCTCTGTTTCTATGCAAAGTGTGTGGTGATGTGTGACTTTTGTCAAAATGTTGTCAATTCAGCCTTCCAATTTCTGTTACTGAGATAAATCCTTGAGCAGACTCAGAAAGTAGAAACATCTCCATAGCAACCATAATCAACCAAGCTTGATATGAATTGCCTTTTTTCCTGGAATACTACAAAATAAAATCCTGTCCTTACGATTTATAAACAAAATTGTATTAAAAAAATTCAATCATGCCCAGGGACCACAGAAGTCTCGTCCAAATAAATGGTTAACCGCTAAGATGCTGATAACTGCTGCTTTTAACTGATGGATAATCATTACTATCGGACAATATTTCACAATTTAACCGTGTCTGGTAACCATGCAGTACTTTTACATTGCATTATGTTCTGACTAGACAGGCTGAGGCTTATGCCAGCTGTAGGCAATACAACACAATAAAAGTGCTTGGGGCAGGGCCCTGAAAGTCAGCAAATATTAAATAAAATTAACATAAAAAAACGCTCCAAAAGCTGCTACCGCTTTACCTGAAATAAATACCTTTATGTATTGTTAGTCGCTCAGTAGAGATAATACAATTTAAAAATATCTTTCATGTTCCTGCCCCATTTCAAATCGAAAAACAAACACAGCAGGTAATCTGACTTAAAGGGCTCTTAGTGCAGGCCGTATTAGAAGAGGCTCACTCCCTCTCAAGATGTTGAAACAACATATTAGGTTGACACAGCAGCACTCTAATGTGCATCACTCCTGTCACTTGTTGTCCAGACACAGAAACGTAAAATAGTGGGCATGTCTGCAGAGCTGCACACTGAAGGATTTTAGGTCCCTCCATCCTTTTTCTGCCACTTATCCAAGTCCTGGTTGCTGTGCGGCAGTGAAAATGGTCAAGAAAAAATGTACTTTATTGTTCAGTTTGCTGTTGCTAGATGAAGGAGGCAGTTGCTTTCAGCCTGATTGTCCATGCTCGGTATTTGTTGGAGAGACCAAGACAGAGCTGAAAGAGAGTGAATCTTTGTATTGCGTGAACCAGGTGGCCAGAAAATGAATTCAATTGTATTTCAAGCACCATTGTTGGACCACCTGGAAGAGATATGTCCATGTCCTTCAGAGAGCCATGGACAAATGGACAGCTGGAGATGACACCATTCCAAAACAATAACCCTTCCAGGAACCCAGGGAATTCGCTCACTCAAGCTGTTAAAACTTGTGTAGTGGCTAAATCAAAACTTGTGACCAAGAGGCAGAACCTCAAAAAATCCATTCAGACTTGCTTTAGCTATTTGAAAGAAAAGATAACATTGAATCCAATCACTAACCAACTAATGGAATGAAACACCTTATTTGCTGCCTGATGATGTGGAACTCTGCCATTGAACAGTGAACATCATGTTATCACCTAATTGTATCACAGTAGAGGTAAGAGATGCCATTGCCAGTTTACTGAACATCTTCTGATTTAATTCACTGTTTTTATTTGTTCAAGTTAAAACCCCCCCATTAGAACTCTACTGACTCTTATCAGAGCAAAAGTGGATCAGAACATGTTTGTTATTTTATAACTTGAGAGTTTAATTATGGTTGTAAAACAAGATACTAGTTAATTCACCACCTGGTCACTGGTCATTTACCGTCAGGCTGAGAGATAGATTATAGGGGAGGAAGTACCAGAAATATATATGTTTTGTCTTTTATTCTGGGGATTATCAATTTCTGACCATATATAATATTTCACGGCTCTGTTCACAAATCCAGGCTGTCAGTGCATTGCTTTAGTGCATGTGAGTCGTTCTGTTGGCCCTGAATTCCAAATTGATCGTCTTTAATGAATTCAATTAACCAAAAAGAGAAACAGAAATTTTAGGACGATCCAGCAATTCATTCATGGAAAATGTTCTTCATTGGGACTATTCAAACACAGTATGTTAAAGGGTTTATTGGTTACGACATTATTCCATCTAAATAGGACACCGAGCAGAGAAACATTACATTTAGGAAGGACTTACAATGTAAGACACTTACAGATGTGGTGGAACAAAGTGATTTAATGGTTTATAATGGTTTCGAATATGTGTCTTGAACACATCATTACATAAACTATAATAGCATTTCAACATAAATATGGCCTCTGGCGGTTAGTGAACCATACACGTACAACCAGAACCAGTAGTGCTGATAAAGCCTTAACCGTCGATGGTCCTGCGATGATGCTGCTATTGAGGAGGAATATACAGCATGTCCTACAATTTGGAAAGTTGGCATTCTGCTCATGAAGCTTTACACAGCCATAAAATAAATGTCCCTGATGCCTCTTTTACCGACAGCCTTTCTCCGGGCAGATTCAGTCTTTCTTTAAATTTTTCTTCAATGTTTGGAGAGCAAAACCAGTGAAGCCTCAAGGGGCTGTTCCAAAACTCCTAAACGTTTCCGTCCTGTGCCTGTCCTCACACGATGGTGACGTGTCTGTGTTTCCTGACGCCTGATTCACCCACAGTGACGTGGGCGCCGCTGTAGCCATTTCTCGCCTGGTTCACATCATCAGCCACCTACATTCAAAAGAAGCAGACATTTGACATTAACAACGGATCTAACTTGTCTCCCAAAGATATAAAGACAGTATGGACTCATATGTCACCGGCCTTTCCCTCCTTGCCTTTGCAAATCAAAGTTTATTGCTGCGATTGAAAGATAATCACCTTGATATTACCAGGCTGTGGAGTCTAATAGCTAAATAAATCGGATTTGTTAAAGAGGTACCTCATTAATGACTGAAATGTTCCGAATGATCAAGCAATGAATTATTCATATGTACTGTGCTGTGTCTAATGAATATCACTTTAAAACCTGTTGCACCCTCAAGCGGTTTTTGGTCTCTGCTCTGAAAATGGCATACCCGTGATAAAAAGTGCAATATTTCTGTAACTACTTTGTCTATCTGAACCATCCTTTTCTGTGGGGATAAAGGTGTGAGTGTTCTGGTATGTAAAAATAAGTTAATTTGTTACTGGTGAAGAAATACATCAGTATAACACAAAAAGAACATTTTAATTTTGAGATTTGCCTGAAATAAAGTCACTCACAGTCCCATTAAATCATGGAGACACGAGGCTAAAACCCCATCTGAGTGACAGCCCAGTGTGTGGGCAATACGATTTGAAGGTCTTACATTGATAGAGTGAGGATTACTACTCTAGGACGGGCTTTTGTGAAGGCCTCACGACCCAAAACCAGGAGGAGTAACCCTGTGAGACATCATCATTGTCCCTGTATGGAAAAGCCCACCAACTTCCATTGAGATCACTTGGTTCCTGTCTGAGTCGTAAAGATATTCAGAAGACCGTTGCCAGTTTCCACTACAAAATGTCAAAAAATGTAAGAGAACAGTTCTCACAGCTTAACTCTTTGATTCCTCCCCACCAACCGTAATGTGTATAAGAGGTGCCCTGAATACCACGCGTACCACTGAACAGCCCTACCTCAGACACTTTGGAGCCGTTTTCCTGGGAAAAGCCGCTGTCAGTGAGTCTGCTGGGAGGAACGCCTGTAAACGGAGAAGAGAACCGGCGGTATTGTAACTTTACTTTCTCACAAGTAGATACTGGCTTGGTAAAGCATGGCAGCATATGGCGATAGAGTGCCAATTTATCAAAATTTTAATTTGAATCTTTGTTTGTGTATTGATGTATTACTAGTTGTACCCTCTGGCAGGTATCCTGCGTTCTCATGACCCTGTCTTTGTTCAGCTGCATCGCCACCGCTCATCTGGCTCTGCGTCCTCGCTCTTCTACTACAAACAAACAGGTTGTAACACAGAAACATGTAGAAGCACAGGCTGTGAAGGAGATGGAACAAGGGTCAAATGAAGAGGTATTCACATTGATCTGTTTTGTTGGCTTCTTACCTCATTTCATCCTGGTAATTGGGCTCTGGGGAGGATCATTAAATGAGTTAATGTGAATGTGTGTGTATAATATACTATTTGCAGAGTACCACATTGCTTTTAGGTTGTTATAGTGATTTTGGACACCCCTTATGGTGAGTTAGAAACATTTAATGAAGGCCTTACGTTTTTCTTTACTGCGCTTGTAGCAGAAGATAATCCCGAGGATGAGCAAAACCAGCAGAGCAAAACCTCCGATGGACACGACCACAGCTATCAGCACGGTCCAGTCGCGGGGTTTGGGAACTGTTGCAGAGAGGACCACCAGCGTTCAGGGGGAGATTCAAGGACTGAAACCATACACTGGGTTGTTGCTATGTCATTTCTACACAGCATGTGTTAAATGGCGGCACGGTGGCGTGGTGGTTAGCACTGTTGCCTCACAGCAAGAAGGTCCTGGGTTCGATTCCGCCCAGTGGCCTTTCTGTGTGGAGTCTGCATGTTCTCTCCGTGTCTGCGTGGGTTCTCTCCGGGTTCTCCGGCTTCCTCCCACAGTCCAAAGACATGCTCTGGGGATCAGGTTAATTGGGGACTTTAAATTGCCCGTAGATGTGTGAATGTGAGTGTGAATGGTTGTATGTCTCTTTGTAGCCCTGCGATTGGCTGGCGACCAATCCAGGGTGTATCCTGTCTATTGCCTGAAGTTGGCTGGGATGGACTCCAGCCCCCCCCCCCCGACCCTGTGTGCAGGATAAGCGGTTTGACGATGGATGTATTAAATGTTATTTGTTCTCTTCCCAACTCAGTTAAAACCTGCTTTCATGAGATTATTCTTCAGTTGCAGTGGGGAGTAGTAGTCCCATTCACAGGAATCTGACTTTTCTCTGGCTTGACTCAGTTTCCACCCCTTTAGGTCTTGGTTCTTGTCTCGGGTCTCGGTAGACTCTATAAGTGGTTTCATCTTGACCTGTCTTGACATCTTGACCTGTCTTTAGCCCTGCTAGCTGAATAGCTGTGGGATTGGAATGATTAGAAATAATTAGCTAATTATTTCATGATACTCTTTCATGCTATTTAACCCCCTAAACGTCACAATAGGACAATGACATCGTGAGCATGTTAGCATTCAGCTCAAAGCCCAGCTCCGACTAACTGCTACACCTTAACAGCAGACATGGTCTCATTTAACATTTTCACATTCTATAGGACACATAATTAAGTAGCAAAACCAAATGTCCAACTTAGAAGTGGTAGAAAGGCTCAGAGGACGCTTTGTGCCCAGGGTATTAAACGTTGTGGAAGATCTTCTTACCAACCACCAAGAAGACGGAGCTCAATTGGGGGCTTGTTAGCGACGACACAGTCGCCAGACACTCCACCGTGGTGTTTCTGACTGCCTGGAACGTCAGGACGCTGGTGGAGTTGAAGGTATCCCCATCGGCCATGCCGGTGGTGTTGTACAGGTTGCTGTTCACAGCTTGGCCATTTTGTGACCACGTGACAGTTGACATTGGGAACCAAGCAGATGTGACACACTGGAACTCCACCTGCTGGTCCTGCTGCACCACCGTCACGTTTTGTCCCCTGACGCTGACCGTACCGCTTTCTGAGAAACAAAGGCAGGGACAGGGATGGAGGATCGTTTAGGAGCGGTGGTCATTGAGGGATGAGAACATGTAGTGTTTGGGATAGTTAGGGATAGTTATTGTCTTAAAAATAAGATTAATAAATAATCCTACATATATACTTGGAAAGGCAGTTTAAAGTCTGAAGATAATATATTAGTTTCTTATTGCCATGAAAGTTGTGTACGGCAGCATAGCTCATTGATACCTCGTTAGTTACTCCCCAATGAGTTAAAACATAGTTAGCTAACCATGTTTTAACTCACTCAGTCTAGTGGAAAATCTTTCCATGGTCTGCTATTAAACATTGTTTGCTATCAAAGTTGAATTCCAAACTCTGCAATTCTATTGTCCCCTCAAATGGTGTCAAAATGAAGATGAGTGATCAGCTCAGTGATAACAGTGCAAACAACAGGAAATGTGCTGACATGGGATTCTGTCAGTGAAGCATCATTAACTATAACCGCCATATAAAAAGTAGTGCAGAAGGACACGTGCACACATATGAATAATTAACGCACGTATAAACTGACTAAGGCAAACACACAGGGAGATTGAATTCATTATCTGCTCATGTAGACATTACTCCTCTATATCTTTACATATTGAATTAGCTTTGCGTGCAGCTTTGCGTGCAGCTTTTACTGCACGCGAGGAGAATCTGTCATTAAGCTACCAATCATCTGCATGAAATGGAGCTCTGTCACTTTAATTATCAAAATCCATTCATCCAGACCAGATGTTTCACAGTAGGATTAGTTGAAGGCAATCAAACCACATTGAGGTCGGAAGTCAAGGAACGGCCACAGAGTAGCATGTGTACCAAGTACTAAACCTTGCCCAGTCCCTGAACAACGTCTGCATGGGGACAATCCTACCTTGTATGTAAAGCTGGGCCGTCTTGGAGCCATGATCCCCGAGCATGCTGCAGATGACCGGGCTGGCGTCCACGCTGCGGGTGACGTTACGGATGGTGAACTCCACACAGCTGCGGTCATTAGAGCAGAAGCCGGCAGAGAACTGCTCTGAGGACGAGGCTATGTCACCGGTGATGAGGATATTGAGCACCATCAACCCTCCGACATTCCAGGTCATCACCCGCCAGGGTCCTTTTACGGTGGCGTTGAATCGCGCATCAGAGCCTTGAAGCACTGTTAAATTTAACGGCTCCAGTTGGAACTCCCCCAAAACCGCTGAATATGAAAGAGACAACATGTCAGGACGGAGTTACGTGAGTTTGGAAGGTCGTTCTACTTGTTGCATCGCAGAGGAATCTTTAGTTGCATCTTGTTTCCAAGCCCTATTTTTGTATGAAGGGACTACAGACAGAATGTGGGTTTAAATTATTTCAACCATAGGTTTCTGAAGAACCAAAATTAATCTTAAAAAAATGTTATGGTTACGAAGGGGCATTTTTCATCTCCCTTAACCTCATAACTAAATTTAATGCAACTACTACTCTGTTTTCTGAGGTGTTTTGCCTGAAGACGTCTTCAACCAAATACTTTTTATTTTAACTAATTATTGAATTCAAAAGTGTACTATAGGAAATCTTTCTTTAAGATATTTAAATGTGTTATAACAAATATAATACAACATTTTATATGCACAGTACCAGTCAAACGTTCGGACACACCTTCTCATTCAATCAACCCTTGACTGGTACTATATGTAAATACTCTAAGTGCCCGAGACGAGTTTGAGTTGGCTAAAGGTATGTGATCATTACAAAGGTCATGGACTTTTTTTGCTGGTTCTTGAAAGAACTGAAACTCAAACATAACATCACTGATCCTTCACGTGTTGAGCATCAGAGTTTCCTTGTGTGTGTTCTTGGTGTTGTTGGATCCTTTAAGACGAAGCAGAAGGAATGCTGCTCTGGTCCACACCAAGTACTTTAGAATGAGGACTGTTTAAACAAGCCACAGTTTACTTTATATCAACTTTCCTCTTTCTTCAAGTGACCACTGAGGCTGACATTTAATATTAAGAGCACCCAGAAAACACGAGAGCGACCTGCTGTGGTGTTTCTCGGGTTAGTCCCTGTTGATGAAGAGCTTTGATTGTTAAATGTATTGAATTGTCTTAAACACTATGTGGGAAATAAGACATAGATATTTGGACAACAACGTGTTTCTCTACATTTTTATCAGGTTTGCCCAGACGTTATACAACTATTAAAAACAAAGAATGCTGACCTCCAGCTGCACACAGTAAAAGACAGATGTGGGTGAGGTTGGCCCGACATTTCCGGGGAACAGCCATTCTTGGTGTGCTGAAAAGACGGAAGAGACACAGCTGTGAGAATGTTCAGTCCTTCCTTGTTGTCTAACAATATTCAGAAAAAGAATTTGAATAATAACACTAACGTGCACATTCTTTGGGTTTAAATGATCTCAAATGACTGCTGGAAGACAATATGATGCTAACGCTAACCATCTGTGAAAGTGACTGTAGAATATCGTACAATGAATTTTACAATTTTAAGACGTCAAAAGAAATGTAAAAACTCTATAGTGGAAAGTTAAACCTGAAATAAATGGCACAAGAACAAAATGCGAGTTTGGACGTGTCAGACGACGTGGCATCGAGAAAAGTGTCGCTGACTACCTCAATTAGCAGCTTAGCATGACGTTAGCCTGTGGGAGGGTTTCCTTTTGTAGATAACATTTAAAATGACCTCAAATGTTTTGATATTATTTTTAATTATGTCTGATTGAAATCTACAAGCTTGTTTTATTATTTGATGTCACACAGGGAACTGGTCAGATGTTTATATGTCATTTCATCTACACAAATGAATAGATTACAAAAAATCAGAAATGCTGGTATTATCCATTTTCTTTTTCTCTGCCATCAGATTGAATGTCATACTTTCTTTCGGTACGTTTTCCTAGCTTTTCCATACATACCAGTGTTGACTCTCACTAATGGTCCTTGGGATAAAATCCGGGCCTTTGTGACCAAATATTCTTCAGAATTAACAGCATCTTCACTTTAAAGAAACTTACTGCCTGAGAGCTCCCGCCGCTGTGAGTGGAATAGATCACAGCTTCATTTCCGAAAACAGAAGGGGGTGGAGCAGGACTCCACCTAGAGCTGTAAAACAATCTCACAGGGGTCAAGGTCCAGGTCTGGCTGTTGAAACTCGTACCCTTATCACCTTCGGTCTACCTGTCAGTCAGTAATGAACCGTGTAGCGGGCGGTGTGAGGCTGACGTTCTCACCTGCAGGCAGAAAAGAAAAGTTTGGTGGCTCTTATCACAAGATAAATTTCATGAAGCATTTGTTGTGAGCCGGACGGCTTATTTCTGTGTTTATCAGCTATATAAAAATATAATATTTATAGCACATTTTATGTAGATCTTTTTCCTCCATGTCACAAAAATGTTCCATGTGTTCTTCCATAATTTAAATTATTACATCATTCTGTCTTATGTAATTCTAAATTATTAATTCTAAGGGGGGAAAACAGTCCACTCCAGTTGGGGCTGTAGTTGAAAGTACTAAAACAGAGGAGAATAAACTGAATGAAGAAAAATGTATGTAAAAGTAATGCAATGGTGAAAATAATTGGAAAACATTTTTTTGACGGAATATATTTTCTTGGTTTCTTATTTGCAGCCTTGCCTCAGAATGATGACATAATCACTTCACAATGCCACAAAAAGAGTTTTGGACGATTCAGTTCATTTTTAAAGGAGCATAATTCTTCAACAGACCGTAGCAAATCCCCACCACAGCTAAGCTAAACCTCCATTCACGAGCTGCTTTGAAGAGCGTGTTTAAATGGGACACAAGGACATTTACTGCTCACACTTTAGTCTAATTTTGTTTGCAGGATATGTATTTGTTATGGAGGATTTTGTTAATGGTACTGTTTATTTGAAAATACATTTTGGGGGCAAATTGGAGTCATGTTTGTGTTCTGACACATATCACTTAAGTAGATAAGATCCCATCAAATGAGCTCCCTTGAATCAAATCAGGCTTATTTATAGCGTCCGAGCAAACACAGAGATTACCTTTTCAAGACATAATCACAATAATAAGGGGGAAAGACCGTCAGCGTCTTTTAGCGACCTGACCTTTGACCTTCCAGTTGAGGCAAAAAGGAAGAAAGAGGGTAACCTTTATTTTTCCCAAACTTTCTTTCTGGAGAAACTAACCCCTCATTGTTCCTGAGTATTTTTACTGCCATTCCTGTGTCGCTTTATCTCATGTTGAATAGGTGACCCAGGCATTTACAAGAGAAATGCATTAGATGTATCACATGATCAATCCCAACATAATATTGTATACATGTTAAAGGCTAGACGCACTTTATTTAAAAAGTATTTGGGTGGAGTTATGCCCGCCTTTCATTGTAGATTCAATGTTATAAATAAGATACAGTTCTACGTGCAATTTAAACATTCAGGCTCCCCCATGTGGCACTAAGATATAGTGCAGATAAAAATGTTGAACAAAAGAAGAATGTGATGGGACTTATTATGTATGTATGCCCATCAAATACCATATTTTACTAATAAAACAGAGAAGTTTTATTATAGCTTTAACACCTGAATGGGAGAAAACACAGCAAAATATTTTTGGCTCTGACGTCATTACTTTAAACAATGTGTACATGTGTCCAGGTTTGATGAATGAGGGTGGAGGTATGTGTGTGAACTAGAGTTCACACTCTCTCTGTGGAGAGTCCTGTGGACCAGTGACACATTTTGATTAGTGTCAGTGGGCTGGCCGCACCAAGCTCATCACCATCAAGGTCACCTGGACAACACAAGCTGCCTTTATGGGCATAAGAAGCTGACACTGACTCACTTTTACCACTAGGGATCACTGTAGGATTGTTTCAATTCAAACACATGGGGTTTTATTCTTGCAGGAATTTATACAGGCAGTCGTTCTATATGCATTTTCTACATAAAACAGTCAGGAAAATAAACCATATTATAAAGAATTCATGTACCAAACGAAATCAGATGGACAGACAGAGATTTGAATGAATTACAGTTGCCAAATACATTTTTACAAAATATTTCAACATGAGACATTTTTAAGATTTTTTTCTTTATTCAGCTGCCAAGAACACAATGTATGCAGTTGTGGAATGTTAGTATTAAAATAATTTACTTGAGTAAAATAAGTAACAGTGCTTTCCAGCACTTACTGTGTGTTTGAATTGGGCCGGATGGGTGTATTGTGTTATTGTGCTAAAATGTAGATTTTAAGCCTCATAACAAAAATAATTTTTTTTAATAAAGATCTTTCTTACTTCCGACTAATTTGCAGTTACGCCAAAGACTAAAGGACTTTAAAAGTCCTTCAGCTAAACGTTCCTCTGAGAGCAGATCTCCGGTGATCAACTATACGCCGCTATGAAGCCTCCTCTGGCCCCCTGTGGTGGTTTTATGAGCGTAGCCTGAGGGGGAATGTCTCCAGACACAACTGGTATTGTACAGGCAGAAGCGAGCAGACAACCACGTATAACAGGAAGTAGATAGTGGGGGGAGGGTCAGCAACGGCAGCCCCTTCAATCCGTATGGCCAGCGATGGAAGTGATTCAGTGAACCTCCTCTGCCGTGGCAGAGATCATCGGTCATAACTCATCATGCCTCCTCGTCTTTGTCTCTGGGCCTTTGACTTTTCAGGAAGATAGGACCCCACAATGCAGTGCCTGCTAAACATTAAAGGGCTCGCCTTCAGAACATGCATTACTTGCGTTTGTGGCGCTTGTTTGTGTCAGTTGTTTGCTAATCAATGGTTAAAGCTGACTACGGTTAATTGTTTCTGAGCTCATTAGGCGGCGTTGCCATAGGGGTGTGTCACAAGCAGGTCATGGTCACGCCCCTTCTGGCTGACAGCCATCTCTCTGCAACGCTCTTGGGCGGTCACAGTTGATGACAGCGCCGTGGTGCATCAGTGGCGCCCACACTCCAGTCTTTCCTCAGTTTGCTCTGTTAGCGCTCTCAGCACTGTTAGCTGCAAGCAGCAAGCCCAGCTGTCGCCAATCAAAATGCTCCCAAACTGGCAAATAGCATTTTTACAAAAAAGGGTATATTCTGCATTTTTGTTGGTGGTCAAATACCTAATTAAAAAGAAAGAAAATGTTGAAGATTTATACTGTTCAGCTAATACAGTTACTGTAGTGTAGGAAAGGGACCTTTATGTTTGTGTGGATTTATGCTGGTGGTTTTGGAGCCCCTTTCACACACACTAGTGTAATCTGGCTTTATCCGCTGATCCATATGGGAAGGCTGCATTTGCTGCATGGAAGAAATCCACTTAGTGAGATAGAGAGAGGGGGGGGGGCAGAGAGAGAGAGAGAGGGAAAGAGACATCCTTACATCCAGCTGATCCGTTCACAGTCATATCTGACCGATGGTTTCCTTAAAGGCGCCATTCAGATGCTGCGTTTGTGCAAAACACAGCTGCACAGGCCCATGTGTTCCTGGTCTACAAGACTTGACCAACAGCCACCGACAGTATGCAAATATGTGTGTGTGTGTGTGTGTGTGTGTGTGTGTGTGTGTGTGTGTGTGTGTGTGTGTGTGTGTGTGTGTGTGTGTGTGTGTGTGTGTGTGTGTGTGTGTGTGTGTGTGTGTGTGTGTGCGCGTGTGGAAGAGAAAGTGAAGAAGATAAAAGAATGAGTTGCCTTGTGTCAGAGAGGCTTTGGAAGGAGTCACCTTTACATCATCCTGTCCCACTCCTGTGGATTATTCCATGGTCTCTCTGATTTAAAGTAACCTCTGCGACAACAGTGTTGCATTCATTCTTTCTTAGGCAAAACATATAAATTATTTGTGCCACAAAAACAAAAACGCCTCGGAAGGCTTTGCATTATTACTTCTCTGTGTGAGATGTAGTCGCAATTGTCTCCCCTGCGGTGTTCTTACGACTCGGGAGGGAAAGACCAGGGAAAGGACAGCAAGAGGCACCAGCTGTAATGGAAGGGCTGCCCCACACTCAACACAACAACAGCAATGTTTTATTAGCCCTACCTAACACCCTGTCCCCCTCCCCTCCCTCCGTCGTGCATATACAATATCTTTACAGAGAGAGCTGCAGGACATTCTTTTTGCAACACGCATATTTTCACATCTTGCCAAGCTAATTGTACGAGAAAAGAAAGGAGAATAGTAAAGTCAGAGTACAGGTTTGCATGTCAGCGGTGGCAGAAGTGCTTCCATCCATTATCAAATTACGTGGATTCATTTTAGCAAGTTTGCGCACTTATCAACTTTGTGGTACCCTGCTCCTCCATTTAAATTTTGCACACCATAAAGAAAAAACAGTAAGGCCGCAAATTCGACTCAATGTTTTTAGCATGCACTTCTATAAAAGCAACGGGATGTTATTCCCACAGTATTGGGAGGACCACTTCCACCGTAAAGTAATATCATCATAATGAGATATTAATTTCTCGCTATTACTGTGAAAGAATAAGATTGAATACCAAACTATTGTACCTAATATCAAAATTCTGACCATTAGCAGAGCAGCAAAGATGTGTTCCCAAAGTAAAGATTTAGATCTCCCTCTCCGTGTGTTACAGTCACAGTTTCTCCCTGCTTTGTTTATGCTGGCCATTACAGCCCACAACACTGACCCTACCAACCTTTGGTCCCCCCCACAGGTTAACACTTTTAGCACGCTTGATGTTGTTAGCACTGTATGCACTTTTGGTAATGTTGCTGTTTGCACTGGCTACTAAGTATATACATCAGATTTTCATTCCCTGCTCACGAGATGAAAGAATGAGGCATTGACAACACAAATAATGAACAGATTATGTATATGCATAATACGTCTTCAGAGTGGGAATGCAGGGTGAGTAACTACAATACAGTTTCTGTGTACGACTTAAAACTGCACAGCGCTTACTAAGAAACGGCCGTGGTACTTGTACATGACGTATGATAACCTTTCACAAATTACCCCCTGGGGATAAATAAAGTATATATCTATGTATCTATTTTTTTTTTTTAAACATCAGCTGTAAGATCACGTTTACACCAAAATACTATGACCCGGCCCAGAAAGGCCCTTCGTATAAATTATGCAATAAGC